GTTCGGTACCACTCTCAGTTTGTGTGTTAAGAATGGATCTAGAGCCAGCAGCCGGTTAGCATAGCTTAGCATAAAGACTATGAGTAGGGGGAAACAGCTAGCTTGTCTCTGTTTGAAAGTAAAAAAACCAAACATCTGCAATGCCTCTAAAGCTCACACATTGATTCATATTTGTTTATTCTGTACAGAAAGTATGAAAGAAAGAATTGAATTATTATTCCCTCTGCTGCAGACAGACCTTGTACTTCAAAGAATCAAATGTGATTTTCATGAATTGGCTTTAATGTTGAATCACTACTTATTATAAGATTCATCTGGAATGCAGTGTAGGAAATACGGGTTAATATCAGTGTATGAAAAAGATCTGGAGTAGTAATTTGACAAAGTTAATCTCTGTCCGCTCCACTATGTCTACCTTAAAGTGATCTTTATGCATTGTGGGATAACGTTTGCTATGTACACACTGTTACTAACCTGTGTCTACTTGAAATAGCTCTGATATTTACATTCTTAAGGGGCTTAGGTGTGTACCGTCTTAACCGGGTGCTGCCTGCTTTGCTTAACAATGGCTAATCCCATTCTCTGTTACCCATGTGCACGTGCATGTGTGGGAGTGTGTGTGTGTTGCCGTATGCATGTGTATGTGTGTGCAAGTGTGTGTGTGTTGTAAGCTCACTCACATGATAACGTTGTGCTAATACGGGCCCACGCGCGCTCACATTCCTATCATAGTTAGCATTTAACCAGACCATTATGAAAGAATGCTGTTGTTTTTGTTGTCGGAAGAAGCATGTGACCTGGAAGTAAGTTAGTGCGTGTTTGTCTAAAAGTGTTTCAAGGATAACTGAGCTCAACCGCGACTGAAAGGCACAGCCGTTTCACATTAAGATCCTTCTCTTTTATTTCCTGGGAACAGGGGGTGTCTGAAGATCCAGTTAAGATATTTAGTGTTTATTCCTCTTATGGAAAGATGTTGAATTCAAGCAGAGTCAGAGACACATTTATAGAGTCAGTTCTGATTGCACAAGATCAACAAGTATTTACATGAAGAAATACGTCTAAGAGGAACTTATGCAACAAGTTCTCTTAGACCTATTTCACATTTTCCATCCAGTCATCTTCTGCATTTTGCATCTTTCTATATACAAAACGTATCACCACCTTGGATAGTATAGCATTTTTGTGAATTTATTTCATAATTTAAATTGACATCAGGCTGAGTTTAGAGTTTATATGTAAATCAACTTATATTTACTGGGAGGTTTGACAGGGTTACTTTAGGTTAGCTTGACAATTTACATATAATTCAGATTAAAGAGTTCTTAAATTACTTAAAGGACCAGTGTAAGATTAAGTGGCATCTAGCAGTGTAGTTGCATATTACAACCCCCTTTTGTTGAGGTATTTCATAGGATACATTTCTTTAACTTTTACCTTCTGTTGGAGCAAGAGGAAAGGTCAGGGAATCACCAAAGTCATTGGAATTCATCCTCTGGCAATCATGAGTATCTGTATCAAATTCCATGGTGATCCGTTCAATAGTTGTTGAACTAAAAAAAAAAATTTAAAACCTGCTGGTGGCGCTAGGGGAAAGGTCAAGGTATCACCAAAGTAGTAGGATTCGTCATCCTGGGAACAGGAATGTCTGTACAAAATTTCATAGCAATCCATGTTGTTAAACAGGTATGACTTTGATTTACAACTGATCGGAATCAGGCATCTGTTAAGTGATGAATATCGTGTTTTTCATTGAACTTTACCACCCGCAGGTTCCCTGGCTGTCACAAGCTTAATTCTTAAATGGAAAACCCCATCTGTGACCTTCCAGCTACAGTTCATATGACTTTCAGCCCATGTTGTGTTTACAACTCACTCACTCAGTTACTGTCTTCAATCAGGATCATTAACAAATACGAGCTCTCAAACATTTAGAGTATGTGTTATCAATACGACCCAGCACATACTGAAGTCCTTCTGTAAGTCTTTACAGTAAAGATACATAAATGGCTTCGCAGGAAAACTTAGTCATCACTATAAATAGACAGAATAGAATGCTTTAGTAGCCTGATACAGTACAGTAGCACTTCCATGAATGGCGTGGAAAGCCAGAGTGTGCTTCTGTGGAAGAGTGCATTTGTCTCTGTCCTTTGCTTTGATATTCACGTGCCTGGTCCAAGCGTGACCTGCGTTTATAAGCAAGATGAGTGAGTGTGTGTGTGTGTGTGTGGGGGGGGGGTCAGTGGCTTGGGGGCTGTTGAGTAAGCCTCATGACACACAGTGTGGTCATAAGACACAAGTGCAATGGCAGGAATGGGTAAAGAGACAGAGGGGAGGGTATGTCTGTGTGTGTTTAGAGGGGGATTTGACAGGAGGGAAGCGGGGCCACAGGTGGTCAAGTAGTGAGGAGGCGAAGGAGTGGGGAGGGGGCCTTTAGAAGTGAAATGGGGAATAAGGCAAGGATGACATATTATTCCACTCCTAAATAACACACAAATTACAATTTTAACAAACTAACCCAGTGGGGTTGATATGATAAAAAGTTTATCTTCTGAAAGTAGGGCACATATGAGTATAGGATAAAGTGTATGAGGGGTTGGTAGAAAGTAGGAGGTGGGTGAAGAAAAGATGGAGGGGAAGAAAAAACAAGCATTTTCTTTCTACATTTTTTGTGAAATCTGTATGTAAATGTCCTACAACTTTTCAGCATGATATCATATTGTGAGAATGTGGGGCTCATGTGTGTTAAATTTAGTCAGCGTCCACAATGAAATGTTTGAGCCAGCATGTGAGGGGACTTCGAGCTGGGCTTGGATTGACTGCATTCAGGGTTGTAACCTAATACTTTATGTGTTGTTAGCAGGATGATTTATTGACTATGTGATATTCACCAAGCTGGTCTTTGATGTCTGGTGCAGCTGACTCTGTCAGTCTCTGATTCTGCCTCTACCGCAGTGATTCCCAACCAGACGTACTTGTACTCCAGGGGGCACTTGTGCCGTTGCTTGGGGGTACATGAAAAGTGGATTTGAATTTTAAAAAAAAGGAAATCCCTGTCTTGAGTCAGCTGGAACACTGGGACATGGGGATTAAACAGTTACGGGTTAGTTAAGGGGATAAATGGTTACCATAGTTCGTAATAGTTAAAAGTAACGGGTATTAAGGTATATAGGTTATTAAGTAAAAGTAATGGTTAAACAGTACCGACAGTTAAAGTTACACTAAAAAGTTGTAAAAGTTAACTAAAAATAATGGATAAACAGTTGATATGGTTAGCTAAGTAATGGCCAAATGTGTTGGCTAAGAGGTATCAGCGAATTCCAAAAGCCACAACACAACGGAAGTGAGTGACAGTGGATGTTGACAATGAAACGGCGCGGACTGTTATTAGCAGCGGACGTATGACTACTGATGTGTGGAAGAGGGAAAGTTGTTGCCTGTTTGAGAAGTATTAAGTGAAACATTGTTCGCTAGAAAACTATGATTACTATTGCTATGCGATTGTGACAAATTATGTTTTCCCAGTAACGGACAATCGGATCCAGCAATCATGTGTTTGTGATTTGAAAATGCAGCAGATTTTACATTTTGGACATCTGCATCTAGGCTCAACATCATCCGGCTGCTTTATTTCAGCTACTTCACAGAGACAGTGTTCTCGTAAAAAGGACCTGCAGAGGTTTTATTGTGAGCTCATGGTGACTTGATGCTCTGTAATATTTGAATGTGAGGGGGAAAGCTGCTCAAAGAAATGACTAAGCATAAAAGTAACCTTAGATAGTCCTTACCATGGTAACTGTGAAAACATAAGGACACTGAATAATTTGTTACTATCTCATAGCAATAGTAATCATAGTTCGCTAGTGAACAACATTTCAACTTTCCTCTTCCACACATCAGTAGTCACTAAGTCCGCTGCTAATAACAGTATTTCGCCATTTCGCTGTCAACATCCGTTGTCACTCACTTCCATTGTGATGTGACTTTTTCCATTATGTTGTATGTTTGGATTTGTGTTGTGGCTTTTGAAATTCACTGATGCCTCTCGGCCACGGTAGCTAAATGGTGAAAAAGCTTAAAACGACCATAATCAATATTCTTATGGAAACAATGTATCAATTGATACGGTGAGAATAATGTAACAGCAATGTAAATGGCCAAAAAAAAACAGTTACTGCCAGTTTAAAGTAATCGATAAATGGTAAATGTCTATATCTTTTCTCTCTTTACCTTCCGATCTCCTCCTGTGGTATGTGGGTGACCATTTGAGGCAGTTTGTACTTTATCTATTAATATATTCAGTGTCTAAAATGTTGAACATTGTGTTCCATTGCACTCTCTGTACCACTGAGTCTCAGCCTCACAGGGAGAGAGGAGAAAAAAAAGGACATGATAAGATGTGAAAAGAGGGGAGGGAAGAAACTCTGTGTTGCCGACGAGAAAAGAGAGCAAGGGGAGGAAAGAGAGATGGAGAGAGGGAGAGAGAGAGAGAGAGAGAGAGACGGTGGGTGGCGGGGAGGAGATGGAGTCAGAGCTGACAGGGTAGCGTGACATTTTCCTGTGAGGACAAATTGTTCTGAAAAATCAACAAAGAGGCAAAAGAGAGGCAGGGTGACACTGCTGCACCAAATGCGGAAATATCTGAGCTTTTTTTTTTAAACATACATGTGCTCACAGCATTCCCAGCCACTTCTGCCTTCTGATTGGCTTGCTGTGCATCTGCTCCACGCACCAAATCAAACCTAATCAAGGATTTCCTAATTGGCTCATGAGCTCGGTCATATGTTGGACCAAAAAACAGCACACTTCATGTATGTCTATTCCACATTGCGCTAAAACCATCATATGTGCCGGATTTGCACAGACACACACAAGATTAAATCATCACCATCTGTCCTCGAACATATCTCGGTTAATCTCCTATTTTCATTCACTGAGCTCTCGTAATGTGAAACTGTGGCGACGTAGGGAGACTGTTATCCAATTTCAACTGGTTTACTAACCTCTTTCCCAGCCACGCCGCACTGCTCATCCTCTCCTCTCATCCCTGCCTCTCCCTCCACTTCCTCTGAGGCTTTTTAAGGACACGGCGTACCCAGTGCCCTGCTGTCTCCACTCATCCTCCCTCCTCCTCCTCCTCCTCCTTCTCCTCTGCTTCCCTCACTTTTTCTCCTCCTCTGCTGCTCCTCTCCTCACCTGTCTCATGCCTTTAGCTCCCTGTTCGTCTCCTCTGTTTGAGCTCCCCTCATTTTTCCTTCTCTTTTCTTTTATGTCTGCAGCATTGTAATGCCAAGCCAAATGCATAGCCGGCATACCCTTATCTAACATCTGGGCTCCAGAAGAAAGAGAGGAGAGGGCTGTTGCTCTTCCTCATGAATATTACACCAACAGAGAGGGGTGAGATGGTAAATGGCAGAAAATAGGCCCTTGCACAGAGGTGTGAAAAGAGTCAATCGCTGGCAAGACGGGTGTGTGCGTGCCCTATTCAGGTGCGCGTGCGTTCACACGTTTGGAATTCTCACGTGCACCCATATGTACAACTGATGGGATAAATCGGGTCCTGCTCTCAAGCAGGTGTATATTTAGCCATGACTGCACATATGGGCAGCGGCTGGTATTTGGCATCTTCTCGACAGAAGAACCCACGAGAGGGGTCAGCTGACACACACAGTAGATATGGGGGCAACGGGGAGAAACAAACAGACAGGCAGGCGTGGCGTTGCAAGAAAAAGGGAATTCATATTCTCGAGAAAAAGTGTTTTTTGAAGGATGATGTTTTTACTGACCACAAAATAAATAAAAAAATAATAAAATGAATGGAATCTCTGAAAACAAGCAATGTTCAGCCTTTTCTTGAATTTTCTTGAATTCAGTCATTTTCTGCAACAACATGCATTTTATTTTGGCGGTGCTTGGGGTGTGATTTGGACTCCAGAGACAGAAAAAGGGAAGAACAGACAGAAAAGAGGGAGAAAATGAGGAGAAATCAAGGGAAAGATAGAAGATGAACAGACAGGTAAAGGGACAAATGGAGACAGGGTGGAGATGCATTGCGCTGTACAACCTGCAAGGTGTAGTGCATCCCCTGGAGAACAATTTATACAACACACAAACACACACACATGGCAGCATGTTATCAATATTGTTTCTTGCAGGGTTAGCTATCATGGTGGCGTGCACCAATTACTCAGCCTGGAGCAGCAAATGTGTGGCAGCTACAGCAGAAGAAAAGCTACATGGCTCAGAACACTATTGATCAAAACCTGTCGACCTGCCTTTGTATGCGTGTGTGCTTGTGTACCTGTGTGTTTCCCATGTGCGCAGGCATGCTTTTCCCATTTCCGCTTGTGTGTGCGTTTGGATAATGTGTGTTTTCAGGCAAACATGGCACAAGTGAGAGCAGGCAAAGATGCTGTTTATGAAATTGGTATCATTTATCTTGGATGTAGTGGATGTTGCTGGGGGGCTTCCACAGCTGGAAATATCCAAACAGAGGAAAAAGCTTGTGGTCGGCGGTAGAGTGGAGTAGATGTGTGTCAAGAGGCAATTTGAATGAGTGGACCATCTCCATTGGGTTCTACCCCTGCTAGTCCCAGCTTGGTTCTGGTACAGGACCAAGCTGGGACTCTTCTGGACAAGCGTGGTGGTAGTTCAGAGGGGACATCTGGAAAAGTTCTTAGGAAATGTATATTTTATATTATTTATATTTGAACCTAAAACTGCCCATAGCATCCCATGTCCGTGTCCAACATATGCCTTGCATGCCTTGAATAATTTTTAAAAAGTACACAAATTTAATGTAAATTAACTGCCAAAATGGTACATTGTGTACTTTATAGCAGCCAATTTGTTTAACATTTATGAGAATTTATTTGCAAATATGGAAATATTCATAGGTAGGTTTTCATTAGTGTATAATCACCTAAAAATAGAAATCGTTGTTTCGTTACCTTAGACTGAGCCGTTTTTATCAATAGATCCCGAATCTTCTCGTCTATCTCTCAGTAAGAATTTTATATATTTAAAAAAATGGCAAACTAGTCCTCTAAATTATATTAAAAGAAAAAATTAGCATGTGAGAGAGACTGAAATACGGTTCTGTGTAATTCTATGGTTAAGCAATGATGTGAATGGAACTACCGTTGCAGACTTAAGCCGCTGTGAAAGGTGACGACCTCTGACAGCAGTCTCACATGAACGGGGTCAATCACGGATTCAGCATACCCACGTCTACACTAGTCTCTGGTATTTATGGGCCTGCTTTGCTGGGCAGCATTTGATAAGCAGTCTGCTAGTCTGATTGAGTCTTACTGTGCGTGTCTTTCAGTATAGACGCTGCCTCTATATGCTCACTGAAGTCCTTTCTGGATGTGATTATCAACTTAGTACCTAAATGTGCAGCCAGTGATGCACTTTGGTTCAATGGATTTCGTTTTTGTCAGGAAAATCTTGACTTGAATGCTAATAAGGAGCAAAGATTTATTCATTCAGTCAAAGACACAACTTTGGTGTTACATTTATAGATAATATAAAAATGCTGTCACACACCACTTGATTTTTTAATATAAGCTTCACAGATGTTAAATATAGATTATTCAAATTACTGATTGTAAAGATGAGCATGTGTTCAGATGGACCACAGGGAAGCAAATTGAGTTTGCAACAAGAAACATTTTTCCCAGACTGTCCTTTAATTCATGTTGATGTATGCAATCGGTCATTCATACTGCAGAGTGCATGTAATTTGATAGGTAGTGATCTCTGATGACTGTCGCTTCTGCCTCTAACGATGATTAAAATGGACTACGTTGCAGTACACTCAGATGATTGACAGAACAATGTCATCCAGTGTGTGTGTGTGCATGCAAGCAGATGAAAGTATGCACATTTGCATTCACGTGTGTGTACTGTAATGACTGGGTCTACTTATATGTGTTTATGTGCTGTGCGTTAAGTGCATTCACACAGACATACCACATACTGTATACTGCTGTTAATAGATTGCATGGAGATTTGGGTATTATGTATATATATATTTGTACTGTTGTGTTGTGAAATGTGTGGAGCAGGCATTAATGAGTTTAGATGGCTCTGATCTAGCCTCCTCTTTAACATCAGTCTCTCTCTCGCTCTCTCTCTCTCTCTGCATCAAGTCCTGTCGGACAGCTTTGGCAGCTCGTCAAGTCTACTCACTACACATGCCAATCAAACCCCGTCCAGGCAAATAAGCAATTAATCATTAGCATCCACAAGCAGAAGACGAAGGAGAAGCGAGGAGGAGGAGGGGAAACGAGACGAAAGGGGTATCAGGGTTCATCTGGGTTCAAATATGACCCCGCCCCCTTTACACACACACACACACACACATACACACACACACACACACACACACACACACACACACAAATACACACAGTTCCCTTGCGAATTCTGCGGTGGCAACCGTATAACAATGGGATTATCTTCTTAATAAATCAAGGGATGAATTATGGAAATGAGCATGGGATGGTAAAAAAAGAAACAACTGAACAGCATCTGTTGACTAACAAAAAAAACTATTGTCCCATTTCCTCTCCACTCACAGTAATGGCGATTAGACGATTAGTCTGTGATTGAAATGATTAAATGGCGCGTAAAGTGCACCTTTATGCGTATAATTCTGTGTATACTCACTAGACAAATCGGCATGTATTTACTTTGAAAACTGGGCATTTTAGGCCTAACTTGGGGTTAAAGCTACTTAATAATCAGGAATAAGTGAAAGTAAAGTTAATTAATTGAATTAACAATAGTTCACCCTCAGATACTTTTATATATAACTAACATGTGGTGTTTCAGCTTGACACATCTACATCTGCTCTCACACATGTTACAATTCCACTGAAATCTAAAAGTCACTCATAAAACCAATGTGTGGGTGTTTGTACATTTTTACTACCCTCAGTCATTCTCTCCAATCTCATTTTATAGCCCATATTGTTTCCTCTGTCTGTTTGCTTAGTGTCAGTCACTGAACGAGATATCAGGTTCAGTGATACCAACTGCCCTTCCTGCCTTGCCTTCTAATTGGTCTATAAGAGTTGATTGCTCTGTATTGCTATCAACTGATCTTCTATCATTGGCCAAGGTGCCCAGGTCAACCTCTGACCCCTGCAGTTAATGTTATATATCCAATTACATGCCGGATGTCTCCACGTAATCCTACTGGTGATTTGATTATGAAAGAACAGGGAAATGATTTTGCTGTTGTTATGAGTGGTCAGGGCTGGACAGAATCCTGACAAACTTTTACTGAGATACCCCTTGAGCAGGGCTTTTAAGCCCTTACACGCAGTTCAATTTACCTAGAAAAAGAGAGGTTTCAATAAAATGTGCTTGCTCTATTACTTTGTGAATAACCAAGTGAACCCTGTGACTCCACCAACGCTCTCTTCCCTATGATAACTTGGCAAAACTGAAATCGCAGAAAAATGTGAGAAAAGAAGCCAAAAAATAGAGAAAAGTGAGAAGACAGAAAGGAAATAGAGACAGAGAAAGAGATAGTTTGCTGGTTAAAGCAAGCAACGCACTGACAGTCCTTCTCTCCTCTCCCAGGGGTCCACTGGAGATTTCACAGCTGGGGGGCTGCACGGCTGTGCCAACTCCCTCTCTGCACCACTCCTTCACACACACACACACACACACACACACACACACACACACACACACACACACACACACACACACACACACACACACACACACACACACACACACACACACACACACACACACACACACACACACACACAGATCAGTAGCATCATTATGTGTGTGTCCCTGTGCACACACACCCTCTATGTTTACAACCCGGCAGTAACTGAGCTGATATATGTGTTTCATTCGTGTTACCGTTCCTCAAACCCCACGAGACATGTCACCTCAGCCAAATGGCAGGGTGCCTCCCAAAGATGCAAACGGATGATAACAGGTTCTATCTGCCGTCAAATGTAACACAGCTCTATGCCTTTAATATAGGGATATCTAGTGTGTCGCCGATGGCTGCTGCAGATACACATATACACACAGTGGCATGCAAAGAATGAAGGTTTGACAGACAGACAGACAGACAGACAGACAGAGTCTCTTGTTGATATCAGATGCATGGCGATGAAGCTGGCAGATAAGGTGTGGCATTTCTGATCTGACATGCAGTATACCCTCATTGCATTCCAACCAGACCAGCAGGGAGCTATTAGAAACATTATACA